GGATGCAGGCAACACTTGAAACCACGGCCCCTCCAGTCCGCGGAAAAACCTCTCTCTACGCAAATGGTCCCTGGTGCCCAAAAGGTTGGGGGCCACTGATCTAGAGACTCCGAAAGCAGCCAAGATCACCTGGAAAACCTACTATAGATGTTGCGCTTCTGATTCTCCTGCAACCACATATTGAAAGTTTGACACAGGCTTTGCTGTGGTTCCCAAAAGAGTTGGGATCAAGAAGCAAAGCTCAGTGGAGGGCAAACTATGGTTTGTTCACGTCATACAGAAAATGGGCGGCTTAGTATATTATGGAGCTTTAAGACACCTGGAAAGCTAAACACACTAAACTCAGAATAATCCTACTGCACTGATTTTAGTATAAATGTTCTTGAATGAAGATTAGAATCCTAATCCTAGTTGATTTTTACAAAGAGCAGCAGAAAATTGCCTCACGCTGCGGCAGATGTGGTTTGAGCCCTGCAACTGGCCATTTGTTTAAAACACCTTCCTATTCCATTCAAGTTTATTATCACTTGTCTCTACAGCTCCAAATTGCATATTGTGGAAAAAAAGAAAGATCTGTGTGTATTTGCTTGCATCAGTGCATTAAAAAAAAAACCCCAAATAAATAGTAAGGCTGCTTCATACTGATGGCTTGCTACACTGAACACTCTTGAGTTACATTACAAGTAGCCAGTATTTGGATGCGTAAATCAGGACTAAGAGGGATGAGTTTCCATAATATATCCACAAAACTGCTCAATTTGTCCTCCTTTCAATTCCATGTCAATGTCACCACGATGTTTGACAATGACAGAGCAGGTGCTGAGCAGCTGCTGCTTAGTCCCTAAACTTGAAAACTCTCTGCTTAGCATGTGTCTCCATCTGCTTCCAATTCCTGACATAAGTTCTATACGCTAATTCTTGCATATTAATTAAGCTTTTCTTTTAAAAAAATAAATAAATAAAAACGAGAATTTCTTCCCCAAACTGACAATGAGCTGAGCTTCCCGGCTTAAAAAGATTGAATCACTTTTGCAGTAAAGGATGTCCCTGTAGAAGGACTGTAAATAGTTCCTGTTCTTACTGGAACAGTGAAAAAACAAGCTCACAGAACTTGCCTTTTTACCTGTATGCTATTTTACCATCTCATATTACACCTGAACGGTTAGAAACAGCAGCCTTGACATGAATAAAGAATGTTTACTTTAAAAAAAGAAGAAAAAGGCAAGCACCTTAATCTTGCCTTTAAGCTACTCCCTACTTTTGTCCTAATTTCTTGGAGTGACAGGGCCGAGTGTAGTTACTCAGCATTAAAGGAACTGTACTTCAGTATTTATTCACCTATGCCCCATCTGAAGTGAATTTTCAAAAGCAGTAATCCCAGATTAAATTTTTTTGCCTTGGAGGCCAAAAAAATAAAATAAAAATCGGTACAACGGGATTACATTTCGATTATGTAAACCCTGAGCTGCCTCAAGATTATTGAGGGCAGAGAAGAGAACTTCCTTGCCCTGCCTGTTGCAAGTTGTTATTTGTATATCAAGGCAATCCTTCACTCTGCTGAGCTTGAAGCTTGTCTTGAGATGAAAATAGCAGCTTCTGAAAGGGCATCTCTTGTCAGGAGCTAGCAAGAGGGAAGAAAGAGTCGAGCAGCTATCTACATAACAAAATGGGCACATCAACTAGACTGAAGCAGCTAACCTCTTGTCTGTTTTGACCTTGATTGTAGCATAACTCTCTGCTATAAAGCTGGAGCATGCTTCAAAATAACTCTGCAATATCGCAACCCATACTATCCACTGCGTCTTTAGGTTAATTTCTCTAGCAATGGGGTTTAGCTTAGATAAAATTCCTGCGGGAGAAATCGTTTCAAACCAATGACATGAAGCAAGCCCAAACAATAGGGCCGTATTGTCATTTTTATTTTTATAAACACCCTACTCTTGTTTTTCACCTGAAAAACAGAGTTTGGATTTTTTTGTTATCCCTCTTAGACCACAGATGGTTTTGCTCTGGCTTATACAAATCTGTAGCTTTTAATCTTTATCCATGTCGAGCTCTGTTTCTTGATCAAGGGAGAGCAAGATCTCATTGACAGGATGCTAAAGTGGGTGCTAATCTAAGGTGCAACTAATCCTACAGCTGGCCTTTTATTAGTCATGCCACTTTACATGTGAGAAATGTATTTTTAAAAGCTGCAAATATGAGCTTCCAGTCATGTGACCCTTTGCCTGAAATCTAGGAAGATGCGGCCTTCATGGGATCTATTGCCTCATTGTGTAACTATGGGGCCAATGTCTCATTTTTGCTCCTTCAAACCTCCTGAAGAGGCCAAAGGCTTGAGATGGTTTACAAATGCTAATGACTCCCACAGGTCAACTTTTTTGTTTTGTTTTTATAGCAACAGAAGCATTTTAAAGACGGGCCAGCAATGTAATATCCTTTTCAAATGTCCTTTATGGAACCAAATCATGAGCCTTTATTCACTGGGATTTGAATTCTCCAGAAAAAGAAGAAAAATATGCATATCAGTTCAGCTCTTTCTTCCTCTTTTATCCAGATATGTATTTGCTCCTGCTTCCATTCTCTCAAATACAGGCCACTGCTTGACAAGACTCACAAAACATCTGCAATTTGTTTTTATATGTAGATGAATTCTGAAGTTAATTTCTTAAGAAGCGAAGGAAAAGGGGAGGGAAAGGTGGTTTGGAAGCGGCAAGGCTTTTCATTATTCAAAAATCTGACAGAAGCCTTTTCAGCTATAGGTCCCGGGGCTTAAAAGTACTTCACTTTCAATATCATTTTAGCCTTCCCTTTTCAAAAAAACAGCATTTGCTTGCCATAGAAGGGCTGTATTAATATCCTATAGAAAAGAAGTTTACGCTCAGCACAATAGACTTGAGCACAACACTTTCCTTCAGTAAAGCCAGCCAGTAAAAAGTCGCAGCAAAAAGCAATAGTGCAGGATAAAAATCCCTTAGCCTCACTCAGGGAAAAGATCAGCTCATTACGGCTATGTTTCATGCTGTGAACCACATAGGTGATGGCCTATATCTTAGCTACTCAATCTTTGCAGACATTAAAGGAAGCCTATGGGCTACCTAGAGAGAACAGAGAACATCTTGCTTCTGGGAAACACTCATGCTTCATCATTATAGGCTACTCCATGTTCACAGCTGGAATACACATGCAGTGTCATTCATACGGATGCCATTAAGCTGTGCCTCAGAAAGAAGGTGCAGGGAGAGTGAACAGGCCAAAATCCCAACTTAGATTAAATGGTAAGTACAATGCACTCTGCAGAAAGAAGCACAGAAGGACAACACTCTGCAACATCTGCAGGTTTGATAAACATTGCAAATGAATGCTGGATCAAGAGGCAGTAGTGGATGAAGACTATTAGCTCATCAGTTTGGGCAGAAGTAAAATGCAACATACAGTAATTAAATAATGCAAATAGAAGCTTGGCTGTCTGCTTCCAACAGATGTCATAAGATGTTAAGGTAATCGTGTTCTGCTTGAAAGCTACTTCTATATATACCGGTTTTTATGCAGCCATTACTTGGGCATATAGATACCATTTCACTGCATATGAAATTAAGCGATGATGACTCCTTTAGGAAGCAAGATTCAGATTTAGATATAAAATGTTACTTATGTTTTGCCCTTTATACAGCAAAACAGTCATTTAGACATGAATGCAAATATTCCCAGTGCAATTTCTATGCCTCTCCCACCTGATTCCGTCTAAAATCACTACTTTTATGGATTGCATTATATTAATGGGAAGAAAAATCTGAACCTCCTTCCTGTGCTGCACTAATTATACAGCCATGCTCTAATCTCAATATATCTTACAGCAACAAGATTTGTCATTTCCGTAACAGAATCCAATGCCTGAAACATATCCATTTGCTTCTGAAAATGTGCAATCCATGAAGCAGCCTGAAGGCACAAAGCAAAGCAGATCACAGTCTGTTCAGTTCCTTACGTGGAGATCCCAGATTCTCCCCCAATCAGATGCTCTGTACTTCTTGAAGGAAAAGTGGGACATGAGTGTAATAACTACCGGTATTTTTTTTTAAAAAAACCCATCCCAACTGACCCAAGTTCTTAATATTATGACAGTTTCACAATACAGTGATTCAGAATTAAGCTACAGGGTTGAGAGATCTGATATGCCTCCATAACAGAGGCATCAATGTAGATGAAACTGACTATTTCTTTCCATGGGATTGCAGGGGATTTCTGCTTTTTAACTTTGGCAAGAGCTCCAATTATACTTGGATTTTTTTGGGACATTAAATTGGATCAAAGACCTAGTACATCTTTGATTAAGCCCTTTGAATTTTGTAGATTTCATCTATGATTCATTTAAGTCTTTTTTTTTTTTCAGTTGGTTAGCCAAGAGATAAACAATTATGCTAAAATTCTATCAATATGTGTAGCAATCCAGATTCAAAAGGGAAAATATTTTTGGAGTTATGTGGGCATTCATGTTGCCATTTCCTGTATTTCTTTGTGAATAGTTCCACATAATTTTAAATATGGATCTCTGTGTAGCTCTAAAAATATATACGGCTAGTTGTAAGACAAGACCCAGAGAATAATGGCATTTACTATAGATTGCAATCCAACATTGGCTTATCTGAGAATAAACTCCAGATTATTGCGTTGAAATTTACCATATGCTAAATTAATTTAGATGGATGATACCTTACCTTCAATGCAAATTTAACAATAATTTACTCGGACTATAATAAAGCATTATAATAAGGTTGCTTTATTTCTCAAAGTCTTCACCTATACTTCCCAACAGTTTTAAATGAAATCAGTTTCAAAAGACATGTCTAACAAAACATGGCCACTTAACAGTTCAAAGCAGGAAAATGTGACCCTTCTACCATATGAGTGCAAGTGTAGCTCAAGACATTTTTTAGATTCAAGTTTTTGTTGGATTTTCTGATTCCATTTTTAAACAAAAGCAATATAACAGTACTTACCGGTGTGTTGGATTGTTCAGTTAGCTTCTGCTCCCACATTCTCAAGCGTTTTTCCCTTTCCTTTAGTTCCTGTTCCTTAAAGCTCAGATCACGTTCCAATCTCTTCAGCCTTTCTAAGGTGGCCTCGATTTCACATCTAAATAGAGAGAAATTTGTTAAATTGTACCTTCCCTTGGCAGGAACAAATTGTTCACAAATATTGTTCCATACAAATGTTAATGAAATGTGAAAGAATGAAAAGTATAGTGCTGTTTCAAGTAGGACATTTAATTAGCAGAGTAGAGATTTGTTTGAACCCTAAACAAAAAGAAGAGGTCCTCTTTTTGAAGCCTGATACAAGTTGAGGCTTGCCAGGCTCCATGTGTTGCTACTTCAATCATCCAGCTCGGACACCTTCTCAAGTCCCCCTTTTCCACTCACTATCTCCCAGCCTCGACCCATCAAAGAAAGGGAAAGGGTCAAACATAAGTGTTTCTGAAAGTAAACCAAGAGGATCCCTTCTTCAAACACAGAGGAGCTTCATTCTGAACAGTTAAGTCCTTGAATTTGTCATTTGTTCTCTTCATATTTTAGTATGAAACAATGAGACTGAGTCAACATGTAAGTACAATTAAGTGTGCCATTTGACAACAATATCTGGAAATGCCCCAATATGATTAGAAATCTTCATCCAGTCCAATGAAGACCAAGTCCGTAGCAAGACTTTTTGTTGGAAAAGGGGGGGGGAGGTAGTAATTCTACTTTAAAATTGAAGCAGAGAAATATGATTGAAGATACTTTTCTATAGGCTTGGACCAAGGCTGTTTTTTATTATGCAATTTATTTACAAGTATTTTTGAAACAGTTCAGCGGTTCGAATCCCTAGTGCTGCGTAACAGGGTGAGCTCCCGTTACTTTTCCCAGCTTCTGCCAAACCTAGCAGTTAGAAAGCATATAAAAAATGCAAGTAGAAAAATAAGGACCACTTTTGGTGGGAAGGTAACAGCGTTCCGTGTGCCTTTGGCGTTTAGTCATGCCGGCCACATGAGACGTCTTCAAACAGCACTGGCTCTTCGGCTTTGAAACGGAGATGAGCACCGCCCCCTAGAGTCGGGAACGACATATGTGTGAGGGGAACCTTTACCTTTTTTATGAATCATGTAGGCGTGCCTTTTAAAAATAATTAATGAGGCATCTCCGGATGTGAAAATGAGCTGAAAGTGAATTTTAGTCTTTTCCACTGCTTTGAAATACACTTTCCAATGAGTCTCACTAACACAATATTTTTTTGCTTCTATATAAAATCAGTAGCATATCTGAAGAAAATGTTTCATTCCTAGCTTTTTTCCTATTGGGCTACTTTTCTTTTTTTTCATAAGGAAAAGGACTCCTCCACTCTTGAAGTCTGAAGCGTGATGATCCATTTTCCGAGCTTGGAAATGTATCCATCTCAGCCCCACTGTATTTTGCTGCAAGAGTGGCAAAGCTTTTACAGGCCTATGATGTATAAGCTGACTTAAATTACTTTAGGTAGCAGTTCATGGAACATAGAATAATAGAGTTGGCAGGGACCTTGGAAGTCTGCTAGTCCAGCCTGGTTTTATAAATCATAGATCTATTAATGGTATTAATCTATTAATACTATCTATTAATAGCTTTATTAAACTTAGTCACTTAGTAAGATAGCATACTTAGATTATACAGGGTTTCATTGGTATAGTGGCTTAAACCTAGTTTAATAGATCAGCTATTATCATTTGTGTTTTAAAGAAACAGAATTCCTACTGCATTTGAAATAATAGTAATTAACATTTTAATTATCCATAATATGTCAACATCCCAGAAAAGTGTATGCATGATGATCAAGGTAACTTTTAAATTGAACTGAGGAAGGAGTTTTACAGCATAGTTGTATATTCAGAAGTCAGCTCCAAACATACTGACTCATCAGTATAAGTAAACCTTATTGATCATGGTGTTATTTTTTAAGGTTGCTCAGAGCTGTTTTTGATTGGGTGACCATAAAAACTAACTAAATGAATAAATGGAGACTTGCACTGTAAAATTGTTTTATTGAGAGGAATAAACTTTAAGGTACAAAAGAAAATTCTATTTGAGGAATCATTGATTTCCTCTAAAATATGAAGGATGGAGTGTAAGCTTCATATTATATTGTTTCTATCATTCAGGTTTACTGTTCGGTAGCTAAGCCCTTTTGCTAGGTTTTCCTTAAATTAACCAAAACAGTTTCCATTCCTGATTTGAAGCATGGTTTTCCTCTTACTTAAAACTCTTCAGAGTTCAAGGCACCAGGATTTTTTTTTCCCTGTGCTTGCTATTGTCTGGTTAAAAAAGATCCTTAGAACTGTGATCCAAGGGTCCCTGTGAATCTTACTACCAATTCTTTTGCCTAAATTACATGCCTGACCCCAAAATGACCCTAACTGTCAACTGGTGTGGCGTAAGGCAAATAATTGTCAGGGATGCTTGAAGTACAACAGGGCCCTAGGAATAAGACCCAAGACTCAGTTTTGCCTAATAATATAATCTATTTAATAATTGGTGGTGCAGCCTTGATCTAAATCCAATTTTGCAGGCTTAACCAGACACAATGAGAAACATAAAACTGATGTTTTTCATTTCTTTGTCATTTTTTGGGACAATGTATGGGAAACGTCTGAAGCCACAATGCCAGTGAAACCCTGTATAATCTAAGGATGCTATTTTACTGTTTGTTTGAATCAGACATCACGCTAAACCATATTTGTTTTGATTCAAACCTGAAGGACACCTGATGCATTGGCACAGAGAGAATCGTAAATAAAAAAATACTTGTACTGCTTCATTTGCACTGCTTATTTGTTTATTTTAAAATGTATCAAACTGTTATCCAACTTTTAATGTCTTTGTCCTTAATAAATTTTCTAAATGTCAAAATTATATTGTATATGTATTACAATATAAAGCATTTTGTAGCGAAAGGTTAGATTCTCTAAAAGCATTCTTTAAAAATATATAATAAAAGTGTAATTGAACAGAATGCTTCTATACATTGCTCAATTAATATATCTCATTCTGCAAATTTATTAATTTACATTGAGCATTGGTGATTATGTATGTTCTATCTATTTTAGTATTCCTACAAATTAACATTGCCTGCTGTCTTAGTGTTACATGAAATAAAAACTGAAATAAAATGTAATAATAGCTTCATTAATAATTTCAGGGAAATTGTTTTAAATTGAATTAGCATATTCAAAATAGACAGTAACTAATTGTGTTCTTCTGCAAACAGAAGGAGCCAGCTGGTTTAAACCAAGGGCAATCCTGCCAACTTTAAGACCTGCGGACTTCAATTCCCAGAATTCCCCAGCCAGACATGCTGAGATGAATGGAGGGAATTTCACCAATTATCCCTGTGCTACATTTTATAATGTTCTGGACGCTTCCTATAATTACTGGAGCCATCTTGGTAACATTTTCAACCAAAAAATAAACCAGGAGAAAATCCTAGTTTCCTAAATATATTAAATATATTATATCTGTGGTCAATACTGTTTTTAACAATGTCCATTAAAGCAACTTGGGCCTTGGTTTTTAATGTGTTACTTCCAAGATTAGGAAGCTCATTACAACGTACTAGTTTTTGGTAGCTGAACTATATTATGAAACAGGACAGGCTGTCCAAACATAACTAATAGAACATGGCACAATTCCTGTTCTGCCCAAGTTTTATTTTATGTCTCCTCCTCTTTATTATTTTCATTTAAGTTTCTAAATAGAATAAGATTTAAATCTCTAGAACAGATATGCACAAGTTGAGATTCTGGAGTACATATGTCCTCCAGAAATACTTGGGTGTGACTCCTAGAGATCTCAAAAATTGTTACCAAGACTGTACTTTTAAAAATATAGTTATATACTTGCATTGATCTATGCAACAGCTTTATATTGTATTGCTCCCTCACAAATCTAAACAATCATCCTTTTTTAAAAACAAAAGGCAGGCCCTAGCTAGCTATTTCAAGTTCGTAATAACATTAGGAACCATTTCCCAGTTTAGCAACCTGTAAAAAAGCCATACAGGTTGCCTGGCTTCAATTGGAAAACCTAAACATATCTAGAAATTCTGTAATCCTAAATACACTTTGTAGAAAATAAGTAGGACTGCTCTTGAGTACGTACACGTGTTTAATATTCTATGGGAAGGATTCATCACGAAGAATTATAGGAAGCTTGAAGCTTTATCTCCAGTGCAGTTTGCAGTTTGCACCAGTAGATGGCACAATACATCCTGGTCTTCAGAGGGCTGTGCTAGTGTGGATTATTGCCACACTGCTGAGTCAGTGCAAGAAGAATGTCAGTTCTAAAACAAGCTATTTATACTTGCATCATGTGACTTGGCTCAAACCTCCCATCTGTGCTCACATTTTCCATCCCTGCAGTAAAATTCTCTTGCTTATCAGTTCACCACTATTTCCCCCCTTAAAGTTTAGGATGTTTTGTATTGGCAAATCCTTATTCATTCTGGGATTTTAAATATTATTTGCATGCTGAGATCTCTCTAATCTTTCTTGCATGGGCTATCTTTGCCAGTCTCCAAATGAGGCAGGCATATAACCATCAAGTAGACTACTAAATTGTGTTCTGCATTACCTGGAGAATGGCCAAGGTTTCTTAATTTAGACTACAGCAAAATTGGTTTGTATTATCCCCTTCTTGTACAGATCCTTTTTCATCTGCCTTCACAGCACTCTAAGCAGAGCTGTTTTAAATGTATCAATATATTTTATTCCTATATTTATGCACACATCTGATTGGAGTGGTTTAAAGATTGGACATAAAACTATTTCTATGGAATAAGCCCAGCTGAATATCACAGGATTTATGTCTGAAAAAAGCATGCTCAAATTTATCCAGTAAAGAAAGACTTTTAGTACAGAAGTACCACAAATGAAGGATGTTAATAGTGGATGGAAAGTCTCATATACTTAGAGAACACTCACCTAGATCAATGGAAACAACAAAGACTAATTTAAGTACAAATGATTAAAATTGGATCCCACCCAATCTCTTTCAATTTAGTAACCACTTGCACACATAATCTTATAGCTGTGTAACCTGGGAAAGAACAAGAGATACCAAAAACAGGTAGCCAGGATACATACTGCTTCATAAATCCAGCCTAGACAATTCTCTGGAGAATTTTTCAAGGATCAGTGAAAAACAAAAGAGAGTTTTGCAATAACGTATCTATGAAAATGACTAAATAATGACTGAAATTTTTTAAGATGGCAAATACTACATCTGCTTCCTTCATGCTGATTATCCTGCTTTTCTGGCTCTGGATGACTAATAAATTATGGACAAGAACATTTTCTTCCCAAATTTTGCAACTTAGTTCTGGTCCCTTGATTCATAGCTGTTTGCTATTCCTTACTATCATTCTTAACGCTTACAAATTTAATTGTGGGGGGGGGGGGCTGAATTGGCTATTTTGCTGTACATCTGATTTAAACCAACTAATTGCTTCTAAATATACCAAACACAATTTGCAAACTTGTTTCTGATCATCATTATGCAGAAAAAGTACCAACATGGAATAACTCATGGGAAACACACAATTTTTCCCACCTGACAGTAAAACAATGATGGCTGTGGGTGGGGGTTGCACAATTTTGAAAATTCAAACACTGGATGTCTAATTTTGGCTGTGTATTTTTCTGGGAAAATACTTCATTCCTCCCCACAGGTAATGTGATAATTATTGGTGGGAACTATGAGGACTCACCGCCATTCTGCCTTGTTATGCAGGAATGAATTGCATTGGTCTGGAAGGTTGCTATCATTTGACATGGAGTCCAAAATCGAAATGATCTGCTTGAAAGAGGGTCTCTTCTGAAGACACACAAAGAAATACGTACATCATTATGCACATTATTACACACGTACATTCTGTAAACCTACATTTTAATATTATACTATTTGCAGAATTAATAACATTTTCCAATGAAAGCAGCAAGTCTAAAACTGCAATGGAACTCATACTGGGATGCTGACTAGATAATTATTAGGTAAACAACACAGAGCTGTAAATTATTATAGCTATAAATGCAGAACTTGCTGCTTTTAAATTTCAATAGAAAAATATCTTAAAATTGTAATATAACAAGACGCTGACCTGAATGGACCTTCCAGATTACTCAAGTAAAATAATACAATAAAAGAGTTACAGTATCCTTAATCCACTTTGTAATTTTTATCAACTGGATAGAATCAAAAATCTATCTTTGTTTCCTGTTCTCAGTGATGGCTCTGGAAAGGTTGTAATCTTTCAGGCAGATGTGCAGTAGAAATATACTGCATATCTACTTGAACTTACTGATCTTAGTATGGTTGTACCACACATGTAGGAAACAGATCTGTAGACAATACTCTGTTTTCCTAGCCAGGGATGCAACGCAAATATAAGTAGAAGGATATCTTGGTTCAAGATGTCTGGGATTGTTCTTGTTGTTCAGTCACTAAGTTGATTCTGATTCTTCATAAACCCATGGACCACAGCATGCCAGACTCCCCTGTCCTCCATTGTTTCCTCTAGGATCTCCTGCACTTTGCATAGTGTTGCAAAGGTGTTGAACCACCTTTGCATAGGTGTTGAAATTGTACCCTGTTCTCCATTTATGACACCTTTCCCCCTATTTTCCACATCAAGCAGTGTGACCTTTCCCCTGTCCAGGGATTCCATTGTATGGGTGTGGAACATCTTCTTGGACAAAGACTACTTGACTACTGTCCAGGCTGCTGGCCCAGGGTATGTAATCACCATTCCACAAAAGCTATAAATTGGATCTATAGACCAGTGGTGGGTTGCTATTGGTTCACCCTGGATTGGGCGACTCAGTGGCGGTGGCGGGAGCTCCACCCACCTACCTGCCCGTTTCTGTGCATGTGCAGAAGTGTCATGCATGCGCGTTCGCAAGCACACAAGCAAACTAAACTGAAACCCATTACTGCTGTAGCCCTCAATGAAAATTATACAACCCTGTCATGGGAAACGCTCCTGAATCAAGGTTGACCAGAGAAGCCCATAATTTAAAGGGGGGGGGAATTAGTTTTATGAGCTGTATTTCCTATTCCCAGATATTTTTATTAACTTGCCTCTCTGGCATTCACAGATTAGTCCATTCCTAGGTTCGGTATTGGTTTCAATAGAGTAGAGTAGAGTAGAGTAGAGTAGAGTAGAGTAGAGTAGAGTA